ACCTAGTGATTCTGTGATTCTGTGATTTTAACCCTCTCTAATTTCCTAATAGAATCATTTACATTGGCTACAAAGAACTTCAACTACATTTAAGTAAAGTACATGAAAGCACCAATGAAACTCTTAATTTCTTTGAAAAGTGTTCGTGAAGGCTTCAAATCTTTGTCAAAACTTTGTGCTATTGCACAAGAAAATTTGAAGACAAAGTTATTCTACATCAAAAGACTGGACTATTCTCATAGTACATTTTGCTCAATAAATTCCTGGTAACCTTGCAAACTAAGTAGGCATTTCTACTGTCTGATATTCCTGCACTGTATAGTTTTAAAGTTATGTATTCGAATACACACGTATTTGCATTTTTGTCAAAAATACTTTCAACATAAAGCAAAGTTTCACTTCAGAGAAAGTTCACTCTCATTAGCATTTTGAGCACATTAATTTACAGGCCAATTTTCATCACACCTGGTAAAACCTGAAGATGCACTAGCAAACTCAACCAAACAGCATTTTTCTCCCATAATTATTTTTAATGCTTCTTACCTTTACAGAGTAAGCCAGAGAAATAGTGACAGCAAGTGGAAGTCCCTCAGGAACAGCAACCACAAGCACAGTGACACCAATAATGAAGAATTTAACAAAATACTGAACGTAGACAGGAGTGCACTCAGGCAACCACTGTTTCTTGTTGACCACAAACGTGTCAATGGCAAAATATAGTACCAAAATTATTACAGTGATGGCAGACATCACCAAACCTGAAAATAGAAATAGTCAGTTACTATAAAACAAAACACAATTAAAACCACGTGCAATTAGAAATCTACAGTTGAATTTGATATGAAACTATTCTCTTACTCTACATGACATTTTTCACCAGTACCAATAATGATAATAATGACAGATTTTACAATGTGGAAAAACATTATTATAGTACATTTACAACAGCCATACATTCCAGTTAATAAGGAAATGCTGAATTCTACAGAACAGCTGAATCATACTGCATTAATTTTCAAGCACCATCTTACTGCTGCCTTTCAAACTTCTTCAGTCAGCCTAGTTCAACCGGAGTTCCACTGTTGCTTAAGCTAAGTTTTTTCAATTTAGTACATTACTTTGCCTGGTACGACATTCATCTGTCCTTTTAATCTCCATATTTTACAAATTACTAGTCTATCCATATTCAAACACTTCTCTTTCTTTTAAATAAGCTTATCTTATGAGGCTTGAGCAAAGGAGTCTCCTGTAGTTTATGCTGCCGTATAAAATATTTTAGAAAAGCCCTACTGATGTGTCTGGCCGAGTACGATGAGGCAATGCTGCAGAATCGTCCACAGAACAGTTTTAACTGTTTTTCTTGAAAATGTGATCAATACTAGTGTTTCCAAGGTTTCCCTTTTCAAAGGGACATGCGCAAGTAGTGCATATTTTTATGAGGAGCGGCTCAAAAGAGGTACAACGCTGACAGTATAGCACAAGAGACACTAATAAATATTTCACAGAATTCACAAAAGATCCCAGGGACTTAATGTGCTCTCCCAGTGACACAGACTTTGCTAAGATAGCACTCCTCCTCCACAATTTTATTCCTGGATTTGAGTGTACAAATAAAAACTCCATTAGAACATCTATTTCGCCTTGCTATGATTACTGCTCTTTGGCAGGTTTCTAAGAAGCAGTTAAGCCTGCATTTCAGAATGAATTCATTTCACTCAAATGAGATCATACAGTAGAAGGAGAATGCTATGAATTTTATGTCTTGACTGAATTTTTAAAAAAAATTGGTAAGCTGAAGGATGCTAAAGTTGACAGGAAACAGATGAGTCGGGGAGATCGCTAAATGCCTGAAGATAAAGGAAAATCCATTAAAATATTGTCCAGGCAAATACTCATGACAACGCAAGACATCCCCATAGATTGCCCAATGACAAAGAAAAAACAAATGAGGCAACGATTAATTAATTTACTTCATATTACTTGCCACATTATGGTTAGAAATCCCTATGCAATTACTTTAAAAGGGATATTCACATGCCTGCTGAAATACCAAAGAGAGTAATAATCAGAAGGCAATGTAGAAAGGTACTTAGTCTAAGAAATTAATGATCATGAGAAACGAAGTGTTTTTATATCAATGCATACTGCTGAACAACTTGCAACAAAGCAGAGAAGCTTGAAGAATATGAAACTGGGCAAAGCATGAAATTGGATATTAAAGAGATGATAACCATAGATTCCAAGTCATGCACTGTTCAGGCAAAGAGACAGAAGTGTCATCATGAGGTTGTGTGATCAGCTAAGTGTAATGAACTTCAAAAGGAACGAGAAGGAATAGCAGGGGTAAAAATCGGACTGGGAAAGAAGGATAAAGGAGATTGAACAGAGGTAAAGTTAGGAATCTGTTGAAGGGCCTCAGCTACGGTCCTGGATGGAGATCAAGATCTCTTTAATACCACTAGAAAAATGAACCTAATGAACATTATGTCTTTGTGAATGATTTTCACTTTCTACCTACATGATGGAGAAGAAGTGCTACTTGTAACAGTAGGGACCAGATGGTACTGGATACAGGAGTCAACAGATGTGTCATATTTGGGTAGAGGGCAAGAAGGTGGATATTAAGAGAAAACAGAATGATTTCAGAATTCGTAAAAGGGAAATACTGTGTGAGTAATATTTTGAGATGATATTAGAGATTCTGCAACTGTGTACTCAGAAGTTCTGAGGGGAGAGTAGATTAAATATGTAATTACTGCACTTGGGAATATTGGCTATGAGAAAAACTACATTTCATTTTGATTCAAATATTCATTGCAATCACAGTTGCCCAAAACTTCCAGTTTCTTGACAGTCAAAGCTCAGTTTTAGAAGAATAAAAGATCTTCAACACCACCTACTATTCTCAGAACACTATTATGATGATGTACTTCTAAATATTGCAGTAAAAAAGGCCTATCCCTTTTAAGAATAATTTGCTTTAAAACCCTTTGTTGCTTGTATAACACACTGCTATTGGGTCAGTTATTCAGTCATACCTGCTTTGCCTATCTGGACTGCCAGCTTGGTCAGCTTTCCCTGAAGAACAGATTTTTCTTTCTTGTGCATGTTGGATTTCTTCTTGTCTTTGTCATCTCCCTCTCCCCCTTCTGCACTCTTCAGTGGCTGCATCTCCATGGCAGCAGCCCCATCCTGCTGCTTGGCTAATAATGCAGAACAAAACCGTTACTCCAACAGCATTCTTCATTCTTTTTATCTTAGTGTTGATACTTACTGAATTCAACCAGCAACACCCCTTGCAGGGGCTGACTGCACACAGATGATTGCAACTGCGCACAGAATTACACTTCGCTCCCGCGGCAGACAGATGCCCCTGTGAGACCCAGCGGGCTTCTGCAGGGGCACAAATGTACGACCATACCCATGTGCACTCCACACCCATGGGGACGTGAGCTGCGCCGCTTGTCAAGTACCATGAAAACCATTGATTTTTATACACATATATACCACTCAATGTCTTGCAAATTACTTGGCAAGTAACAGTACATCACTACTGCAGGACTTCCTAGAATAGCAGATCTGAAATGCTGTGGCAAATAGATGGTCGGTATTTCTCTAAATTTTGGTATGTCTCATAGGTTACAATGCAGCCTTATGATCGTACTTTTAATGAAAACATTTAAAGGTAATGTGGTTCCACAGATGGTCCGAGCACCACTTCTCTTGGCTGCGTGGGCACGTCAGTGGCCAGCAGACCACCCTTTGCAAACCACTGTTCTAGTTAAGACCAGACTTTAGAAGTTTCCTTAGCATTCACTGTTTAAGTAACTTAACCATCAGGTCCGATGGTGATACCATCGTCATTCTCCCGTAAAAAGCACACCTAATTTAAAGGCTAAGCCAGCCTTTCTTGAAAGAATGCTAATGTTGATATAAGGAAACTTTATTTTAGTATCAAAGAGAAAGACATGTTTTTCAAAAGCAATGACATTCCAGTTTATATATGTGTATGTGTCTGTTTTGTATTGAACACAGGCATAAGTAAATTAAATAGAATGAGATGAAACAGCTTTGCTTTGACTTTCGTGAGCAGATTGCAGAAAACCATGCTTATTCGACCTGGAAATCCAATTCATCTACCTAACCTTAAAACTTATTCATTTATTATCATTTTATTTAATTGCTTTGTACTATTTTCCACTGAGTTTATCTGCTCAGATTCTGACCCATCACCTTTGCAATCTTTGGTATTATCTGAGAAGAGAAAGTTATAGTTTAATTTACTTATTTGGCATAACCCAAGGGAATCATGTGTCTCATATGATAAAAAGGGAACAGTAACTTTGCTCCCGAGAAAGCAAAATACTTATCTCAATTTCTTCCCAAGATTGTACATTAAATAAGAAACTCCTAAGATTCTTAATCTTCCTGTTATTTATCCTTATAATACACTTTTCATTGTTAAATAACCTCTTGGCTTTAAAGTTTCCTTTTGTTACTGATTTACCTTCTCACTACAAAAGAAAGTATGTCTGTACAATGCCATTAAACACCAAAGATGATGAGACATATCAAAAATAGGGTTGGAAATTCACTAACAACGCATAAGCATACATAACTTGCACAAGAAAACGAATTCAAACGAGCTTTGTGACATGAAAGCATCATCTGTGAATGGTTTACTACAAATACTGATCTTCTCCTATCCTAAATACCTGATATGTCAAAATTCTCTAAGTTACAGTCACATTGGTACCTTTTTTTTTTGCTGAGTTTGGCGGTTTGGGTTTTTTTTAATATTCTGTTTGAACAATAGGGCCCTTTCTATGCACAGGCAAAGATCACAAATTTCCATTTTATTTTTTAATAGAATTTAACTACATGCTAAAAAGAAAATCCACAACCTCCTTAATATGAAAGAAGATTACCTTTGTTCTGGCTGTTCTCCATATTCCCATCCTGCATTTTGCCTATATGATGAAAAATTTCAACAGACAACAGACAGTAAACAATCTTCACCCAAGACAGAACACGAAAATGGGAATTTAAATAAAAAGGGCAGACAAAAGTAATGAGCATGTTACAGATACTTATTTATGATCAGTAGCCGTTGTTATCATAGATTTACTTAGAAGCATGGGCAACTTAGCTGGATGCATTCAGGGAACTCCAGTCAAGTTCAGTGTTGTAACATGTAAAATACTAAGTATTAGTACATATTGTTGAGCAAATTGCATAAATTAAGAGGGTGAAACCAATAAAAAGAATCCACTGGAAAGAATTTGAATAATATTCCTGAACTGAAATTTCAGTGAGCTGGGACTTAAAAAACCCCACAGGTATAATTTTGGCACACACCAGTATAGACTATGACTTTCTTAATGTATTCAAGAATTAAAATAATTATTTCAGTAAATTAAGGCAAAATATAAATAAGAGTGTTAATAAATAAAAGTAAATAAAAATGTAATTTTAAAATAATGTCTGTTTTACATCTTCCTCACTTGGTTGTATTATTTAGCAAGTTACTCCTGTAAATACAAGAGCCAGGTGAGCATCCATTGCTCAGATTTATCCTAAAGAAAGATTTTCCAAGTGTATCTGTGATTTCCAATATAGTATTTTAGCTTACCACACCAAAGTCCTTACTTTTTTTTAAAGCTGAAAATATACCACTTGAAAGTGTGTATGAAATAAAACCGGCAAAATACAAATTAGAGCGTACAAAACTTTGGTATTCAGAATAACCAGTAAACAATTTCAAATGTATTCAAAATTCCTTGGTGGGATCCCTTATGAAACTTTCACAGTGATAGACAAATTTATCTTACAGAAAAGACTGCTTGAGTTTTGTAAATATTGCAGTCAGAATGGATGACATTCTCTTCTTGTAGTTATGTATAATGCACAAGAAAAAAATAATGCTAAGGAAAATGAATAGTTAAAACACCTTTACAGGAGTTTTGACACATTCAAATAAGGAATGTATCATTAGAGTTTATAAAAAAAAAAAAAGACAGCAGTTAAGTCCTGCTCTTCTGACTTGCTGCAATAATACAGCTGGTACTGACGTGCACAATAAAGCAGCAGAAATGATGCTTCAACAGATGTATTAATTTTTTCACTCTATGCTGTGAATAAATAGCAGCAAAATTGAAAGGCTAAGGTGCATTTCTTGCACGTGTGTATTTTCAATAATAGGGAGATCACTAAAAACTTCCCCTCTTAAAAGGAGCAAAAATGGCCAAATCGGTCATAAATTTGTCACCATACCACCTCACCCCATACTCGTAGGCTACAGGCACCGAGGAATTCAAAAGCACGGAATTACAGTGAAGGAAAGGATGCCTCACTGCCTACAATCCCCTCAGCACGCGGGTGGATTACTAACACGTGCTGCAGTAAAGCACTTGGCATCAACTAGAGCTTGTCTGCATTCCTAACTCTGTTCCCACCTCGGCTATAAAACGGCTGGGATGAGGCAGTACCTATCTGCCAAAGCCTTACGTTTTGCTGTGATACATGAATCTGTGAACCTGAACAAAACCAAGTTCGTTTGCATTGTGAAATTTCCTTTCAAATTTTTGCGTACAGCGCATGGTTGAAATTGGTATCTGCCTAATGGGTGTTTTTCTTAGGATGGTTTTTAATAACGTTAGTGGAAGACATGAAACATCTCCAGACATTCTGATTCCTAGGCTAGAGGATAAAGCCCTCCTTAAGAACTGGAAAACATTAATTTAAGAGTAGACAGCCTGCTCTGTGTCCTGCTTTATAGTTTCTTTTTCAGAACACAATTAAAAACCTTAAAGCAATATAATTGAAGATACTTCAACTTCAAAAAAACCCAAACAAAACCAATCCATGACTTCCGTAACTGGCAAACACCAAGTAGACTAGTTTTTCTATGTAAATCAAAGTATCTCACTTTATGATACAGAGGGTATCATAATTGTTGAATTAATTACACTAACAATTCATCTACCCTGGCTATCTAAAAATACCAGTACACAAAATAGACGATTGTTAACAACAATGTAAATGTAGGCATTTAAGAAATATATTCTTAACCTCAGCAGCTACTGCACTTAGGTTATTGGGAGACAGGGGGTCATCACAGCTAGTTACATTCCAATTATTTACAGAGAATAACAAAACATAGGTAATTTAGGTAATTATGATTTAAAAAATAGCGCTGTAAAGGAGTTATTTCCTCCTGTCCCAAAAAATTTAAGCCCACACTTGGCTGTAACTATGAAAAAAGAAAGAAATTAAGAAAGAAATGAAGATGATAGAATCACTACTGCTGAGAGATCCGTTTTCCTTTCAGTTAGTTCTAGGACCAGAAATACCACCCCATCTTTCTGACCTTTGTGCATTGTTGAGAAACATTAAAAGGCTGAGTATTTATTAATATTTTGATAATATGGTTATATATAATCCCTCAAAAATATAATCTGTTTTTACATACTTTTGCAAATATTTTCTTGTTTTCTTTTTGGAAATAAGAAAGTAAACAGAACAGTGTTTGGGCCCTGAAATCAGGAGGAATTCATCTATTTCCATCATTTTTCTAAGCGAGGATGAAAAATCCGAAAGTTTAGAATAGAATACAGAGTCTCCTAATATGACCTGTATCCTGCAGTTGCTTTGAAAGTTTTGAATTTGAATATAAAATGTTTTGCATGTTGCCTTTGCCCTACTAAAATTGCTGTCTTTTGGAAGGTAACCATGGCACCATTACTGTCAAAGTTCTTACTCCAAAAGACAGTTACTCTCCAAATACACTTTTCAAGAAAAGACTCCCCTTCACCTCCCCCAGCCCTTTATGAAGGGTCAATGAGACAGAATAATAAAGACCTATCAATCACTGGTGGTAGAAATTGTTTGTTCTTCGGGGGGACTACTTGGAATCAACCGAAGAAGCTAATCGAGTTGTGTTCTCATGCTTTGATGAAGCAAAAAATATAAAATACCCTACTGATTTTCCAAAATGTCTCATCTTGTGTAGAAATGAGTTATAGCCCTCTTCATGCCAGGTGAGTGATGCTCTGCAGCTAGTAAGAACAGACGCACATTGCAAATCTATATATACAGGGAAAAGGGGTGTCAAACACACCTGAAGTGAACCATTAAGAATTCTTTCACGCAGTGTGGTATCAGAGGCGATGCATTAGTAAAACACAGGTTAACTACAAAGGAATAAATCTGATTCCACTGCCTCAAATAGGAAGTTTTAGATAATTCTCCTGTGCACTGACTAAATAACTTCACTTACAATTCAGAAAGTACTTCAATAAATATGACAATTGCAAATTGCTTTGAAGGAATTGAACAGTAGTGTACATATGCCAGAACTGACAGAATTAACCGTAGATGTAAAATATTTCAGCTGGGAGATTTCTCTGAGTCTGTATGGTGTTTCTATATCAGAGTATAATTTTAACTACCACTCTCTGAGTACCAAATGCCAAACCCTCCCCCCCACCAAACCACAAAAAGGCAACATGGAAATTCTGATTTAGGAATTGGGGAGTGCTCTACTGGACAATGATAAGCACTCCTTTTAGATCAAATTTGGGGAAACAACCTTTAAAGAAAAAACAATTTTTTCTTTTAAAAAAATTACCTTCTCTAAATACAATACTTTAAAATTAGACAAATTTTTTTTAATTACTATCTTTCTGTCAAATTTTCTGATCTGCTCATAACCTTAACTTGTAACCTTTTAAAAACTGAATACGTTGTCCATAGTTTTAACATAGATACCATTAAACAATTCTGTATTTTAATGACAACTACTAGAACCCAGTAGAATTTATAATAGTTCCTTCAATACAGCAGTTCACAGACTGTCACAAACCTGCATGAATTTATCACTGTAAGTTCACTGACTGAAAACAAAATACAATTGTGTCAACCGTATATCGACAACTAACACAGTAACATTTTATTTGAAGTGATAGTGTGTCAGCTTTCAAGTAACAAGCAACAGCATTTCCTGAGCTAAGTACTTATTCAAGTATATGGGTTTTTTTCTTATTTGAAGGTATTTTCTACACAGAGGTATTAGACCTTAGGTAAAAAATGCTTGTTTCCAGTCACATCCTGGGGAGAATTCTCAGACATTACTGAAAAAATTTATTTCACCCAGACTGAAAAAGTGTCTACATGAACTTGGTGTCCTTGCTTTAGAACTCTTTTTTTTTCCCCCTTGTTTTCTCCCCTCCAAGCTTCCTCCAAAACATACCTACATTTTTAGTATTCTTTAACTCATCGTCCCTGCTGACTAGAAAAATGCATAGAATAAACAGAAATCAGACTTTGGCAATTTCTCAGACAATTCCAAACCACTCTGATCTAACTCTACTTGCCAAGTTTCGGTTCTCCTCTGAATACAACGTCAGATAAGTTGAATTGTGGAAAGTATCTCCTGTCTATCATGATCAAAGATCTGCAGAATTAATTCAACCGCCTCACCTCAGAAGAGTTAAAAACAAAAACATATTCAGCTTGCATAAAAAATTGACTCCTACACTTCACGCACTGAAAAGAATTGAGTATGTATCTCTCGACTCCAGGATAAACAGGGACAGTAACTATTGTTTCTGATAGGAGAGAAGATGGTGGAAAATCACATATTTACTTAAGACACTGATTTAATGTCTCTTGGAACTCAATCTCTGTATTAAGTTCAGGCATTAAGGCCAAACAAAACCATTATCTACCAGGCAACTAAAACTTGCTAACAGAGAGACCAGGTTAGAACAACTTCGGACTCGTATCTGCATCTTGCTGAGCTGTGGTGCTCACCCAGCAAAGCATTTAAGCAGATGCTTAACTTAATACTCAGCAACTTGCAGGACTGAGCATGAATGTAATACTGCAGTCTCCAGTGGGATTGAAGGAGGGTATCTGGTAAGACTTTGTCGTATGCGTATGTTTGTTTTACATAAAGCAGAGTAGAATTATAGAGCATAAAGAATGGAAAATGAAATATTAACCATTAATTTCCTGGTTCTTGGGCTCTAAGGAATCTGAAATTGGGGTGTTGGAACCAGGGTGATATAGGTTCCTGTCATGCAGTGAGATGTGAGGTTTGTAAATCCTAGTTCTCCAGCAAACTTAGAATGTGCAGAGGTAAAGTTTTAAATCTGGTTATATGTTTCTTTTAAATTATAATAAAATTATTTAGAAATAGGCTCAGAGATTTCCTAGGTCATTGCTTTAAATAAGGTAATACACTAGTCAATTTGAGCACTTGTTTAGCACTTGGTATTGCTACGTCAGAAACTCTAGTTTCACATGCATAATGCAACAACTACTGACCTGCATGGAAGAAAATTTCTATCACTAACATGATGAAAAGTAGAATTACTTTTGTCAGTATTATTGGTGCTGTACAAGAGGGAAAGGTTTCTACGGCAAAGACAGACGAAAGTATCTGATTATCAGAAAAATACAACTGATGCCTATACTAATATTGATCCCTTCCACTTAATACGGCAATCAGACTATTAGAAGAAATACTAAAATATCTGCATGCCAAGAAGTGGGGTCAAGAATCTGTACTAAGAGACAGTCAAAATTGACTACAGTACTGTATTTTGTTTTCTTTTTAGTAAATACAGGCAGGCTCATTAGATGATCACTATCTAAGGGCACACACAAATACCCACAAACAGAACTTTTCAGTCAGTCTCTTCCAAAAAAGATGCTCAAAGCGGCAAAAGTTTTTCCTAATGCACTATTAGTTGAAATTGAGCCAGATTCCTGACCCCAGCACTGCTTCTCAGAACTACGTGAAGACTATACGAATACTTATGAGAGTGCCACATCAGAAGAAAAGACAATATAAGCCATTTGTCATGGTGTTCCTCTTCAGGAACAATGCTGACAAACGCGTCAAGAGCTTTACAATGAAACTTCATGTAAAGGCAACTCCCAAGTTTTGAAACTAGCCTTACTTCACCGTTTCTTTTAATTGCAGTTTGAATTAATGGAAAACAGATGATAATTCCTACTTCTTCCTTCCCCTTGCTTAATTCTGTATGAATAAAGTAAATAAGTCGTAGAATCTTTGTGGCATCTCTTATAAGCTACTATCGAGTTTATGGAGTAGGGTATCTCGGAGGGTAATCACATGCATATACAACATCTGTGCGGGTCATAAAAGGAGGAGGGAATCTTATATAGTCAGGAGAGAAATCTATCAAATGACAGAAGCTCGGTGTTCTTGACGTACCATTGACTAAGCTGGCATTTGCATTATCGGTGGCATTTGCACCTGCCGCACCATCTGTAGCTGAAGGAGGGTGGGAGGAGGGATGGGAAGAATCTACTGAGTAATAATGGATAAAAAAAACAATAAATAATAATAACATGAACAAATGCACATGACAAAACAAAAACACATTTATGGACTACTATGGCTTTGTTTTCTCAAAATCAAATTAACATAACTTTCAAAAGCAAAATGTCATTACAAAGGTGTTACAAAGGTAAAACTCATACATGGAATAATAATTAATAATAATAATAATGATGATGATGATGACAATGACATTTAACCAAGTTAACAGAGTTGGTGAGAACTGACTACGCCCAGTACTTGTTTGCTTTGGTCCTTTTATGTGTAATTTTTAGAATTTTAATTAAAGCATTAAGCACATGGCTGAAATATTTCCCTTGAGTTAATGGATTTACACAACGCATGGGTCGTTTTAAAATATGCAACATACTACACAGTATATACAACATTATATATTTTGTATTTTACGCGATGTTGCATATTATGATGTATTACTGCTGATAGATCCCAGTCTAACACGGGCTTAGTCTCCGTCCTGCCAAAACCTAGTTAATATGCACATTGATCTGAGTAGAAACATTTGAATTTTTCAATATTCTGTGTGGAAATGTAGAAGAAATACAGAATTTTGGCAAATATAGTATTGAGGAGAATAATGGGTTATTTTAAATCCAATTAATAGACATTATGTAATTGCCTGTTTTGTGGTGAAATGAAAAAAATACCAGAAAAGAAAATCCTTTTCCTTTTCAGCATTTAACTGCATATCAGAGAAATTAGTCCGGCAATCTTTCCTAACAGGAAGGTAAAAACTCGACGTAGGTTTTATTATTTTATTCCGGTTTTTTATATGGGAGATTAGAAAATTAGCCTCTATGAATAATAGCGTAGTTTTGTTCTGTTTCCATTAGTTAATTGTTCACAATAGAACGCAGAAGTCCTGTAACGACCCCTGATCAAGACTTCCTAAGTGCTTGGCCCATAGTGACTGTTTCACGCTGCGCTGGTTTGTCGTTCAAGAAAAACGCTCTTGTTTTATTTGGGAGAGGAAAATAAACAGCATACAGGATTGAAAAACACACCTTGTGTAACTACATTCATGAAAATTTCAGTTGCAAATTTGATTACTGTGGTGGTAATAACTTAAACTGCTTTGGTTACTCATGCTTATTTTTCATTCCGTTTGGATGCTCACGCTAACCAGCACAGCGTGAACTGCTAACAGCAAATCACACATTCCGACGTTTAATATTTCACTGTAATTTACTTCTGGAGAATAACTGATTATTTAAGCTTAACATTAAGATTTGCAACACAAGCAATGCGTGCACGCTTAAATGTTTGCCACAAACAATCCTGTTGATTTGAAATTATTCTTTAATTCAACTGTGCTGATTCAAAAAGAATTATTTTAATCACAGTTCAACCCCGATTTGCACCAAAGCTTGCTGGCTAAAAGCCTCGTCCTTTCATCTGACGTGGTACAATGTTTACTCTACCTGGAAGCTGACGTCCATCCTCCTGTTTCACACCTGCATGATGATTTTTGCAAAATATTAATGAACAATAAAAGCATAAACCCACATAAGACTGAAACAAACAGTGACGATCGGCAGGGTTGCAGAGAATCGCAGGTGGATACACCGGAGCACGTTATTTCAGTCTGGGCCTCAACCTGCGACCAGCGCGCCCAGGCACTGCCCGGCCCTCGCACAAAGCAGCTAGCAACGTCAGAAAACGTGAAGGAGCTCCCTTGGAATTGTAGCCGTGCCCAGCTAGATTCCGTGTCTGCCAAAGAGGTTCTTCCACACCTCTGCAAGAACCTCTGTCCCCGGGTCTCAACCCCAGGGCAGTGCATTACTCTGCTGCTCTGATCTCTCACTCCCTGTCTTTCAAGGCTACCCACAAGGAAAGGTGAGAGAATCACCCGCGTCCTGAGCAAAATAACATACGGAGAAGGCCACCCCCGTGAAAGGAAGGACCTCAGGGCAGGCAGCTGCCACGGCCAAACAGGTAGGCAAGTCGCACCTTCCCACCTACGCAGCCCTACGCGCTGCCGGATCGCGGAAGGTCCGTACCTAGGAGTCCTGCTCTTAATGACAGCAGATCAAACTACGTACAGTGTTCAAAACTAGTCTGAGGTGAAAGAGTTTTACTTTGGGAAGTGTCGGTCTTTCTCCTTTTACTGTTGCTGGAACTCAGGATGCCTAGCAGGTATTGTGCGTTTCTGTGCAGAACTGAAACGGTAAACGTTTCGCAAAGCTTTTCATCAATTAAAAAGGCATCTCCTCAGAGAAACAGGGACTCAAGTGCAACCACTTGTTGAACATGTTCAGAAATGGAAATTCTAGGTCATGGAAACCGTCTGAATTTGGCCTTCCTCTCTGCAGCTTCAAATTAAAAGGATGGCAATGAAAAAAGGTGGAATCACACTGCCTGACAGATACTAAGTAAAATGTTCAGTAAAGCTGTAATTACTTCAAATAGAGTGGAAATGTCTCAAAAAAACCCCATATTAATTGACCCTTAACTATGGCTGAAAAATAAATATTCTTAGAACAAACTTGGAACACAATTCTGAAAGTAGACGTGAACAATTTACAAGACTGTATGAACAAAAAGTGGAAAGGACACCCATTAAATCATGTTTCTGCTTATTGTGCAACCCATAAATTAGCAATTGCTTATGATATCACACTATAGTAAGGTGAAAAGTCTAAAGAGTCTTCTTGATTTCATTAACTGATACCGGACATCAAAGTTAAACTCTCTGTTAACATTAACTGCTACCTTTTTGTCTTTTACTATTCTTAGTTTGACTTTTACATCGTAAGAAATTAAAATGCCTCTGAAGTCAGTCACTGACATTAAACAACTAGGCTAGTAAAAAGCCACATTTTATCTTCATTTTATTTTTGAAGCTCGAAGAGTTCTAATTCCATGGCCAAGTTTTGGGGCTTTTTTTCTGAAAAAAATATTATATAGATGTAAATGCTCAAGAGCAAAACCTTAGCGAATTTTAGGTGAGTATGGATTTATGTAAAGAAGAGACGGCAATGGGAGTATGCCCTTGTATTCCCTTGCACTTCATTATGTATTGAGAGTCTGCAGTTTCACACTGGAAAAACGTCTTGTTATCCAATGTATTTATTGGTTAACAGCTTTTGCTGTTTTTCTGTGTGACATGTAATGACAAAAATGTATACAAAAAAAGCTTTTAAAATCATATTTATTTGTCAAGAATGGAGGAAAGCTCTGGCTACACAAAGCCGAAGAGCTTTCTTCAGAGCATCCCTATGTGATGTGAAATTTACCTTTCTTGTCTTTCTTTTCTTCTTCTTCTCCTCCAGCACCTAGCAGAGTAAAGATGATGCCTGTCTGAGAATTCACACCCACAGCAGTCACAAGCATTCGTCCAGAGCCTTCCATGACGTGAGTACCTGGAAATACGCAACGTAAGTTATATATAGCTAAAAAAATAAAAAGAACAACCATTAAATATTTTATGCAGTATTTTTACTATAGTAGCGAGAGATATTTGTTACACTTTAAAAATCTATTTTGAGGCAGATATAATTGCATCCCCAAAATAATCCCTATTGTTGTATATTGTTCTCAACCAAGAATAGATGCTTAACTGCAAATCTTAGGGTGCGCATCCATTAACCATGCACATCGGGTTCCCTTTTTAAAAGAAATGTTGTAACGACCCAAATTTACGTCACCTTGGAAGATAGTAGTTTAGCTTCACACGGCTAATTCTTGTAACTCTGCAAATATTTTTTCAGAACTCTGCAAACATTCCTCTGTGACTGTAATCAAGATTATACTGACTGTACATAGAATGCTATTACATAAATGAAGTGAAATTATGTGTGCAATTTCTCTCATCTTTCTCAGTTATGGTTGATTTACAGGCATAGACAAAAATATTTTTGAAGACAATTTCGCATCTTCAAACTTGAAAAATCTTCAAGGAGATGATTAATTAAATCAGGAGATTCCCAAATAGCAAGAAGAATTTGACGTACACTTGAAAATACGAGAGATTTCTATTACTCTAAAACAAATCAAAATGTACATTCAGTTCTTCTGAGGAGGATCATTTGTTTAACTAGGTAATTTTTTCATTGTATTAATCTGAGAAGTATTTCATGCTTTATTGTATAGAAATTGTTTATTTGCAGCTCTTATTCCTATACCGAACCAAATGTTAGGTGCATCTAAGATCATAAGGTTTCTCTTAGAAACCTTTTGCTATGAGTTGTGGAAACACAAACAAATAGAAATTTCTAGAAATTATCAAAGGTATTCTGATTTACATTTTGGAAAAAATTTTAACAGAAGATTTGCAAAAGATCAGTGCAATTGCACACTGGCAATTCCTTAAATAAGTTAGGAACTGAAAAACAACCTATCGTGACATGTGTTTAAGGACAACTTACTATAAGCTTATTAAGAAAAACTGTCATTGAAGCATAGGAACAAATGTATCAAGGATGACATCAAATGACTAATTTGTGATTTTTATATGGTGAGAAAGTCTTAATCTAAAAAGTTCATTATTGAAGTAATACTTAAAATGGTGAAGAGCAACATCTTTAGCAGGTATTTAAAAGATATAAAGCAGATCAGTAGTGCTCCTATGAAACAGATGAAAAACAAATACATAATGACTAGAAACTACCGATAGATAAACCTGTTCATTGAAACAGACTTTATATTTTATTCTTTAGTAGCAGAAAATTATGTTATGCCTATTAAGAGTAAGTCACTGTGAGAACACAGAGGAAAAGCAATCATTTCTTAACACAAAGTTGACAAACAAGCTAGGATTGAAAGTTTACTGCGCTTGGGCTTTTTAAATACTCATTCCTGCATTTGAAGAAGGAAGTAGTTTGGAAACTATGAAAATAGACTGTAACGCACAAACTCTTAGCCTTGAGAAAAAAATCGTTGTATTCAAAAAAAGATAAACATATATTTACACCTCCAAGTGAACTATGGATGGACACACGGTTAACTGGAACCTGCTCAGAGAGTATTCTAATTGTTTTTAATCCTAGGTGCCATAGCTTTAAAGAAATTCTGTTTTAAGACCAGGCATTATTGCAGACTTGTGGGACATCAGACAAATGAGACCAGATGGAATCAGAACACAGTCCAGTAATTACCTTTTCCTTGTGGGGGTGGGGGGTGTGCGGAGAGAGAAAGAATTTTACTCTTCTTCTGAAGCTATTTGTTGGTTTAAGAGTCTTTAAGTCAACTAAACGGTTTGACCATTCTGGTAATAAACCAGTTACACTGCTTATAATACTCACTTCACTCTTCGCCTTGTCACTGCAGCATTTGTGACAAACCGCTATTCTTTACTGGGGTTTAACCTATTGTTCCTTAGATCCTCACCTCACTTCAAAAGTTACGTCCTACTGCTTTACAGTTGTCAAGTTTGCCATAAATGTAAGGTTCTCCCTTCACCTTCCTTAAGACAACATCACTCTCTCATTCATTCTGTACCAGCATGACTTAGGTAGAGTCATTAACTGACTGGTCCTAAACAATTCTGTGGCTAACGAGGTAAAAGTTCTGGTGTGGATGTTCTCACCTATCTTACCTCTATCACTTACCCACTACCGTCACCAACCACCACTCACTATTTTAACTAAAGTGAAGTCGTTCACTGATGCCCGTCGTTCTGAAAGGTACTGAAAAAGAGAAGAAATCTTCAAACAAGCTTTCTGCAAGCTCCCGCAAAATGGCTTTTACCCAGCTGAACTGTGAGCCTGTTGCATGCAGCAGATGGGGAATATACTTCATTTCCATGGAGAATCTTACTGGATATTCAGAGCTGCTAAACCGGAATGGCCATGGAAAGATTATTTCTCCCCTCCCTTTTTAAAAAACATTTTACTGGGTTCATCCTCATCTACTTACATTCATTTCATTGAATTATCTCAAAAGCTGAAAAAAGGAAAGATATGTGGACCTGTGTCCGTAAATAGATCAATATTTATACACACACACACTTGCAACCCATTTTTTTTTAAATCCCATTTTCTCATTACTGCTCATCAGTTGCTCTCCTAGAACACACTAAGCAATGCAACTATCTATTTATAATCAAAATATCTTTCTCTAAATAATCAAAATCTCTCATGTTCTTAAAAGGAAAACAGAAACACAGAACAGACAGAACATCTGTCAGCACTAAGTCTAATTTGAGAGCATAAATATCTCATCAGAACACTAAGAAAATTTCAGCAGAAATAAGCCAAATAAATACAGAAATGCACAAACGGACAGATATATATAAAAAAAAAAAAAAGCAGCAGACCTTCTCAGTGCATTGAGAGCTGTTCCTATGGCTTTCTGTGATAAAATTTGATTCCTTAAAAAGTCTTTTGGTTTCTTTCATACGACAGAGCAAAACATCACAAACATACAAATTAGGACAGCCACCCAAACAACAAAAAACAAGTTACATTCAAGCCTAAAGGAAAAGAAAAGATCTTTAAAAATCAGAATAGGCTTGGTTGTATTGGTTCAGGCAAAACAGAAAACGTCTGAAACTGAAGTCAGAAATTGAGAGGAACCTCCTTTAAGATGCAACACCACTTAAAATATATTTTAAATAAGAACTTGCTTTTAGTATTCCTGTGTTTTGTTTTGAAGGAATCTTCTGTGTTGCACTAGAAAGGTGGGTAGAAATACCTTCAAAAAAATTGGCACGTACACCTATGTTTCAAAGCCAGCTCTATTAAGAAAATGTGCACCCATCAGATTTCAAGCTTACCTTTGCAACCCTGGAAAGGGCAAAAATGTCTGAACTTGAAATGCCTTTCTCAACTTTTTCTTAACCTTAGTCTTGTAAAACATAACTCAAAACCGTTGAGGTGCATACAAAAGCATGGTTTAGGGCAGGTACTAATTTATCATCAGATTATGTTCCACCAGTAGCATTGGAAAAATTCTTCAGCATTTAAGCTAAACCAAAGAGCTGAACCTCCTTCCACCTAACTCGGGTAATTTCACCATTTAAATGGTATTATAATTATACTAGCTTGAATAAAGAAATGGGCTCTATGACTTCAATCATCTATTGTTATATAAATGGCATTCTGGAATGAGAGCATGTTTTTCACTTATCTGTACACTAAGCACGTATTTCAACTTCATGTTGAACCATTCTACTGACTTCTTTCCCTCTCAAGACTAATTTTTCAATATTAGTAAAGGTACCTTTTTTTTTACATGCTATGTATTTAATTTAAAGAAATGTGACTATCCCAAGATAGAAAAGGAAGAAGACTAGTTCAGCAAGAAGAGGGATAAACATATTCAACAGATAATGAACCTATTACAGCACCTACTTTGCAGACAAAAATGCAACTAAACATGAGACTGCTCAGAGACCCTCGAATCTACTAATAGTACTGGTGAAACAGATTGGAAATCGGGCTGATAAACAAGAAAAGAAAACCAGAGCATGCCAGTTTGAGGGTTTTATATTGTTTTGCTACTTCCAACAAACTTGAGGTGAACCAAAAAATCTCTATCTGCATATCTAAACAACTGTTTTAGTCACTGCAATTATTAAGACGTAACTGAAATTACTCATAAAGTAAACCAACCATCAGAATAACCTCTATGAAAAAAAGAGTTTCCCAGAAAAAACTCATCTACGGGTAATTTCAACACATCCAAATAATTTGGAACTTTTGAAGTAAGATGCTGTTTCTGAAAATTTCTGCAGTGCTAGAAGCCTAGCTTGGAATCTCTTCTGGCAGGGAATTAAGACCGAATCAGAACTATTTTTCTCCAGGCAGTAACTGACCCGATTCCTTAATCAAGCATCCTTTTTATTTCCAAAACCTAACAAAGAACCATAACCAAGAGATTCCTTCTCTGTATTTGTGCTTGAATAAGCTCCGTTTTCTTTGTCTCAAATCCTTGTTCTGCATCGATCGAAGCACGCATTTGTAAAAGTTATGTTAGGATAAAGTAATGTTCTGTTGGTCTCAGCTCAGTAAGAACTATACTAGGTCAGCTCCTCTGTGTAACTCTTTCACACCTTAATCAAATTAATCTAAATAGCTGGGAAAAAAAGGTTTAAACAGTAAGCCTCATCAGGTATTGTTTACAACGTTAACCATTATAATACGTGCTACCCCAAAATGCTTCACAGTTGTGCCGTACTGAGGCCAGACTCATATTCAAGACGTATTTAGGAATCATGGATTTCTGGGAATGATGAACTACACAAAACCTAAAGGCCCCACCAGCTTCGGTCGAGGCAGTTCAGCAGCCGCCAGTTTGGTTAGCCACGCCACCTTCATCTGTTGGTTGACACACGCCCATGCTCATTGCAAAGAAATTTAACGTCGCCACAGTCTAGTTTAAGCTGATGGCTTTTGATGCGATGGCGTAAGCTACGCCACGCATGCCAATCCCTTAACTAACTAAAAGAAGGAAAATGTTTTAGACAGCAGTCTAGTGGAGCTATGGAAGAGAAGCTGCTGCTTTTCATTTCAGGTATGTCAGAGTCTGTATGGCCGTTTCTGCCTTCCTAGGTGGTACCAAATGCGCTACATACAGATGGAAATGAACCATCTGGTTTAGTCAGCACTTGTACTCTTAGAATTGCTTCTCAAGTACAGTAAATGACTATCTGGATGATTAAACAGGACATTAAGCACAGAAACTAATTTAGTTTAATTATGTCGTTGAAACTGATCGAATATTGAAAATGTCGTTTCAGGTGCCGATGGTGAACATAATATTTCCTGATTCGAGGTGTTTATATTTCACCAAATTTAGACTCACAAAACAAACCGTGGCTGCAATTCAAATGTTACCTTTTTTCAGTTATTCCTCTGTCAAACCTGAACTGTTTTTATTTCCAAAAGATGATTAAGGGGGAACAGTGGCAAGCAACCCTGACAACATTTGTCTAAATTCGAAAAGCCTACCTGGAGATAAGTTACTGATGTCTTCAGGTACAAAGATAGGAGGAATATTTAAGGTCTGTTTGAAGTTTTTTGTAGGGGGTTGGTTTGGTGGTTTGTTTGTTTGTTTTTTCAAACAAGTTTTATGAAAATACAGGTCGAGGCCAACATCCAACAGGAACTCAGTTTTTAAAGCAGGTCAAACCCAGCCTAAAAGACACGGTGGTTTCCAAGTTTTGGGCTACTAACAATTTCCAGCTGGCACATCAGCTCCCTGATCATTGGGATTAAACCTTGCACTGTATCTATGGAAGACGGTAGGTTTTTTTCACAGTAGAATCTCAAACCATCAACTCTGCTCATGAGCAAATAGAGTTCGGGGATTTTCTAAAACAGCACGAGTAAAAATCCATTAGTCTGAGTACAGACCAAAGGTGCGTGCAGTGCTTGTTCAAACATTACATTACTTCTTGACCTCCTTCGTAATCACAATAGAGATTATATAGTAATAGAGAAAAATAAAGGGTATAAACTTTATTTAACTCTGCAATAAAAAAAATAAAGACAAATTTCTCTCCTTATGGTAAAGAAATTTGAGTTTTGGGAAGCAAGACAAAAACATCTTTTCTCCTAACTTGACTGCTTTCCCTTTCTCTTCCTACCATGCCTTTCAGGGCAACGCCTTCATGTTTTTTTCACAGCCACCACTGAAACCTACGGATATTCAAAAAGATCTAATTAAATTTAGGAGTAAGTGAGAATACACGAATCCATGGAAAATTCATAATCGGAAAACCTCTAGAATTCAACAACAGGACATTTTAATTGGTAGAAGTCTATGATATTTCATGATAGAAGTTTCTATAAGAAAATATCGTTATTAAAACTTACCTCTTTAAAATGAAAATTTTATGCCAATTATTAAGTTATATTTACAAAACAGTACCTCTATCAGCTAAGAAAAAACGGAATGGAAAAAATGCACAAATATTTCAAGGACAACAATGGATTACAAGAGCAAAGAAATTTGTTTTGCTGTTTTATTCTCAGAATCGATAGGAATTTTTGGTGTCATTTGAAAAAAAAAAATTTTAATACACAGTTTCAGGCATAAAGATGCTTGAAACTTGCTAAAGTTAAAATTAGTTAACATGATCTTTTGTAATATGAAGTCTGTGGCAGTGGCAAGTCCACAAATAATATTGGCAATTTCTTCATCTTAAGTTAATGCAGCCACCTTTTAACTGAAATCTGATGGTTTTTTACCAGACCTCAATTCCATAATTCACGTAAGAAACACTCATAATCTCATAGTCAGTGAACTAATTACTGATTTTAAATTTGGAAAGGATTTGCACTGTTAATTCATTAAAAATTGTCACATCCTTACTTGTCACTACTTGTCTCTTCTGAACAAAAGCATTTCCCAACAGTTGGTGCCTGGGAAACACCAGCTCAAAGAAGCGGGATGTGGGCAGGATTTCTGCGGGAACATGTACTTACCTTCTGTATTGCAACATAAATATTCTATTTGGGGTGACTCTTGGCTGACTGTACAACCAGACAGCAAAGAGAATCCTTTTCATGAATAAAAAGTTATATTGTATTTGAAAATGACTGTTTCAGGTTGTAACACATTGATGATCGTTACGAGATCAGCAGGCTGTTATTTTGCGATCACATCCCAGCTGGAATCTATTGACAACCAACCTATTTAGAGACTATCTTTATTAGAATTTTTTAAAAAATCACATTCTATTTAAATGTTTTACTATACAGACTTATATTACAAAATACAAATACTGCAAATAACTTGAATTTAGCACAGAAGTCAAGCCCACAATATTTTAGTATATCCATTTCCTTTTTCTATTGCGTCTAGTACACACAGAAAGAAAGTGTTTAAAGAAATTTAAAAGGCTTTGAAATTTAACGGTTAAATTACAAGTAGCATACAATGAATTGAAACAATTGTTATTTCCCCATGTGATACTTTCCTTTTCCTCTGAAAATGTTTCATTACTTTCTCAATTTATAAAATAAGTACGATGCCCAGAAATAATTGCACACAATCAAAAAAACAATAGCATGTCTTCAGAATGACAAACAGACAAGGCCAGTGTCTGTGTTCAAAAGATCAGTTGTATCTACGTTACCAAAACCTCCTGGCATGGAAAAACCAAACCAAACCAAACCGGAACAAAGCAGTGCGTAAAAGAGAACTCATCAAGAATTCAGGCAGATTTACCTGACAGTAGCATTGGGTCTTTGTCAACAGACTTGCGGACTTGGTCTGACTCTCCAGTTAAAGAGCTTTCATCAATTTTAAGATCGTTTCCTTGAATAAATATCCCATCGGCAGGCAGAAGATCACCTTTCAGTAAGAACATGGCAATGGAAAATCACAGTGGTTTATTAAGATTGCTTTTATTATTACATAATTGTTTTTATTCTAAAATCACAATTAACAACAATTGTATTAAAATGTAAGAGGAAAGCAAAAGTGAAGAACTACTACCGTATTAGTCCACATTAGCCGTATTATTGCAATCCTTTAGGGAAGGGCCTTTGTATTGCGATTATTTTTTGCCTAATGCTATCCCAGAGTCAGAATGCATCACGTTTAACATACGAAGAACATAACAATCACTGAGATTTGGCAGGAGGAGTACTCTTCTTCACCTAACATGAAGGTTTCTCTATAGGACTTCACAGGAATTAACAGTGGCTAATAAACAGTCAAGCCGCCCTTTCCCCTTCCCCTCTCAGGAGGCTCCTTAGCTACGTCTAGGAGAAACTTGAGAGTTGATAGGACAGGCGTTTTGGTGGAATTTGCCAGCTCACTCAACAGAGCACACAGAGCTCCTGCAGAAGTCTTCCTGTTCACGGGAGCCTAGGGCTTTCCCCATGGCATATAATGATAAGGCATCCACCTGCTAGAAGCACCCCATCCGAAGGGACTTACAGGATCCACAGCTCTGGAGCAGCCTACCAAGTGGGCTGAGCACAGAGGCACATTCCCTCTCACAGAGCGTTTAAAAATGCTCCCTCTTATTCCTAACCGGACTGAAACAAAAAATCCCAAATAGCGTAAGCCCCCATGAAAGAGAGAACTGCCTTTGTATGAACAGTTCTTGTCCTTGGCAGCGAAAGGAAGTGAAGACTACAGAAATAAAATCAATTTCCTAGTGCAATTTTATAGCAAGTATCGTAGGTTTTCCTTTTGCCCTAACAGCGAAATTGTTATCTTACCATGGGCAGTAATGACACCACATAAGTCTGTGTCTTTTAAATCACTTCCAGTGAAGTGAGTATCTTCTGCTAGAAAGGGAAAGGAGAATAAACACAAGTCCAGAAAAGCAGACATCTAGTTGACGGAACTTACCATATTTCACCTGTGCAATGTCACCAACTACTATCTCTGCCACTGGGATTTGGATAACCTGTCCGCCTCGCACAACAGTAAATTTCTGTTCCTGCTCAATGCGACTTTGAAGCCCACGAAACTGCTTCTCCTTGCTCCAGTCATTGAAGGCAGTGACAAGTACAACACAGATAACAGAGAGGAGGATGGCAGCACCTTCAATCCAGCCAGCTTCAGCCTCACCTTCATCTTCAGCTCCTCCTGTTGCAGTACCACACCCTGCAAAGACATTAAGAACCATTCAGTCAAGCGAAGATCGGGTTTATCGTGGTTATCACAAGAAGAAAAACTTGCTGTGAAATGACAAGGTTAAGGAATAGAACTGCTCTTCGAATTACCTTCTGCTAAATGAAACATGGCAGAATAGAGAAAAAGTAGAAATAAAGATGTCTGAGGAAAAGCGGAAGAAAACAAATCAAGAGAAATTTTAGATCTTTTAATTTTTCTACTGAACAAGCTATCCTTTGTAAACCCAAACTAAACAAAAGGAAACAGAAGGCACCAGGTCTGTTTTCTAATGGAAGGGTTGATAGCTTCACCTGAGCCATTGAGCCTTTCCAGAAGTCCGGAGGACTTACTAAGAGCGGCAAGAAGGACTAAAACAATGAGTAACATCAATCAGTGCAAAGCAAGGGAATTAAATTAAGATCAAAGAAAACAGATTAGATTACAATAGATTTAAGAAATAATCAATACAATTTCTAAATGTTCTCAACTAAACGCACTTATAAGGAACACTTGTTTAAAAAATACTGAGATGAACTAAGTATATTAGTATTTAAATGTGGTAACAAAATGTGTTAGGAAACACTGAGTAAAAATAATAGCCTAATAATAATTCATCATTCTTCCTTACAGAGGAATATAGGGGCATGCTTATAGAACTGTAAGTATATTATTTTTGTCACAAGTAAACCAGTATTACAAAAAATACATTCTGTGTATTAATTCTGAAGTGTTAATTCTGAATTGCTTTATACATATCTGCTAATTATTTATTTCAAAGTAATATGCAATTAAAATTCAAATAGATTTCCTAGATAGTATTCACAAAATAAAACTAGTATAGCTCTCTTCCTTAATGAAATAAGGCCTAAAAAAAGAGAGTTTATAATAGGGAACAGCAAAGTACACATACTAGAATCACTCAATTCAGAGTTACCCCAACTGACAGGAGAGAGAAAAAAAAAAAAAGAACTCAGAACACTAGAGCCTCCACTCCTGAGTGACCCAGGGAGAAAAGAAATATTTTAATTTTCCATGCAGATTTGAACGAGGTAGGCATTTGACATCATTTTTCCATCTTACCCAGGTACCAGGGAGTTTAGCAACTTAGCAACTGTGTTGCTTCCATCCATGACTAAAGTTTAATTTTGGTATATTCATCACCTGTCACTAGAGGGAACTAACAAGCAATTCGATTTCTATTTTTAAGTTACAAAGATTTCCCTGTACATAAGCATCATAATTCATTAACCAGCTGGGTAATTACTCTTGCATATGAACAGTAACAAAATTACTGCAAGTCAAAGGAAGAAAGATGAGCCTGAATATCCACTAAGTGAACAGAAGAAAATGCATATAAAGGGATTTTTCACCCATGTTCTCTGTAGTTTAAATTTAGACTTAACCTAATTGAAGGGCAAAGCACGCTCCCAAGAGAAGGGGCTTTCCTAGCAGGGGTGCCCTTGGACAGGTGACCCACGTGCACCTTTACCTGCAGTACAAGAACCTCGCTAAAGAGACCATTTTTATAGCACCCAAGAAAGACTAACTAACCCTTTGTAAGTTCAGTACCTTAAGCCACTTAAAACCAGTCGCAAATGCAACTCAAAACCCACATCTTCAGTTCCTTCCT